ATATGTAAATTAATGAAATAAGGTTTAAAACTTTAAAGGTGTCTGGGAAATCTGTTTTTGGGAGGAGAAGTAGTTGTTCAGAGAAGATGGTATGATGTGCATCCTTTAAGTACACTGGCAGCATTGACAGATCTTACCCTTCAGAAGGCATGATTCAGACTCCAAAACAGCAAATTACTTTGTATTTTGAGGTGTGTAGGTCTTGGGTACCTATTATTTGATTTATTGTAATACTTTATTTTTTATTGAACAGAATTTGAACATAAATTTTATGGGTTTCTCCAGTATAAAAGCTATTACCATGAATTATGTGATGGTAATAGAACAGGATACAAAGACATCAAGTTCTTACTTTGTTTCTCCCTGAGCCTGGCTCTGTAAGAACAGACTTACAAAACTAAGCTGTTTTATCTGGTATATGGTAGATTATCTTCAATAGCTAGCTAAGACGGAACAAGATGACAATTGACACATGACTGTTGTTGCTGTTGATCTATGAAACAGATGGAAAACAGATTTTTGTTAAGCTGATTCTGTAAAATGGAGTGTAGCAAAGGAATCTGAATGTGAAACTTGCAGTTCCATGGTGACACAGAACCACATATTAAAGCATGTTGACATGTGATTTATTTATGTATTTATAGAGGGGATTTACCTTATACAAAGATGGTTATTGGAAACCACAGGAACAGAAGTCTTAAAGATAATAGCTTTTATATTGTTAGGTTGAGATAAGTGCTATAAATACTCATTTTCAAAGCATGAATCACCTCAAGGAAAGTTGGTTTTTTTAATTTTAAAATCCTTTCTCCCAGTATAATTAAAACTCAGTTGTAACACTGTGATCTCAAATAGTGTAAAATCAGCTTATCTTTCAGGCTGACATAGATTAGGAGTCTTGTTTTGGTAAACAGTCTACAGACCTTCTGAGCAATCATAGGGCTCATACATAAACTTTGAAATAAGGACATGTAAAAGTAAATGGATCTGACTGAGTTTTACTGTGAACAGATATATAGAGACTGACCATACAGGAAGATTAAACTGTACATATATTTCAGTATATCCATATGAATTAAATTGTTCCATTTCAAGCAGTACTTTACTTTTGGCTTCTCAGGTATAGATGCTAAGATTTTTTTTAAATACTTAGGCTGTTGGTAGCCTTTTAGATAAAGGATTATACTTAAATAGTTTGGAAACTTAAATGTTATCATCATTGATATAAGAATCTTATTTAAGGACTAATTTGATTTGAAAATAAGGCAAACTTCCTCATTTAGCAGATTTGCTGCTAATGCACAGAATTCTCTGTAGCAAGTAAAAAAGAGTTTATTTTAATGACTTAATTTTGTGTTTTCATGACAAGCACCTTTTCTTCTAAGTCAATGACAACTCTTTGTAACCTTTCTTTGTATTGGTTTAGTAAAAATACACATTAATTCTTGTAATATGCCATTATTTTTATGTGCTATGTTGTCTGTAGCAGACAAGAGAATCTCATGCATTTTAAGTACAAATTGATATTTCTGTGATCACTGAAATATTTCAGAGTCAGTAAGTGTTAAGTCTGAGTTTCCTATACCACTGTCATCATATCTGTAAATGCTGGCATCTCCTTACAGAACTCAAGAATCATGGTTCTCAGTCACTTTTATTCTTGTTGGCTGTAGGCTTACTTCTAAAACTTTTATCCACAACAACTTCTTTATGTTAGGTTGTCTAAGCTACTATGACAAAAAGGAAAAATGAATTACAAATACCAGTAAGTAGTTAATGATGTTGGCCTTTTCCTGGTCAATGTGTATTCAGGGAACATATCTTTGTGTGCATTCAGTGTTAATGGAGGGTATCAGAGATACAGGTACAACTGAGTGCAAGATCAGGATGTGCCTAGAAATGTAAGGACTTAAGATGGAGACAATGGAAATACGCTAACAGTACTTAGATATTGCAAGAGTATGAAAGGTGTTTTTCACTAACACTAAAAGAAGTGTAAAGACTACACCATCAGCTCCAACTGGATTGAGGCTGTAAAATGAGTACTAGATTCTTCTGCTGAAAATGTCAGCTTTCTGTAATCTGAGTAATACCAAGCAGTCCACCCAGTTAGGTTTTTCTCTGTAGTGAAGGGTATTTGATTATACTGGAAGTAGAATTATGGCTCTAATGGTTACCACTCATTTCTTAAAGCACAGCTAAGTAACTGAACCCAACATTACAATGAAATATATAGGTGTGCTATTTTTTAAACACACCATGCATAAGTTAAAAGTTTCAGATTTTTAGGTTCAATGTTAATTTCACTTTGCTTCTAATAAAACAAGCACTGATATTTCGTTTTCCTGCCCTTAATATTTATAGAAGCCTACAGAAATAATTATTCCTTTGGGTTTCTCTCAGATCTGTTCAAGTGTACAGCTATTGCCACAGTAAGGGTTGAGTCTGCTATTACAGAAATACTGAAAAGCTCTCTCCAGGAGAGTTTTTGCTCTGTATTGGGAATTGGGAGACAGTGTTAAGTAGGCAGGAGTATCTTGTCTTTATTTATGCTAAAGACAAAAAAAACAGATTAGAAAGCAAGGAAGAGGGGACAGCGAAGCTTGTAGAGCTGGGCTTGGGGATATTTGAAGAAGTTGCGCATGTGACTGGTTATGGGAGCTCACCTCTATATGCTCTGGAGTAGCCAAAAAGTAGCTGTGTTCTGACCATGTAATCAAACAGTTACAACTGAGACTGAAATATTATTCAATCAGGCCATTAGGGAACTTCTTCAGTAGAGCTTTTCCCCTTTTCTCCAGAGACTTGAGCTTTGCAGGCTTGCTACTTGTTTTATTATTACAGGTTTACTGTTCAAAGACAACATAATTTAGAAAAGAATAGGGATCATGCTATTTTTATCACATGGACGAATATACCTTAAAAGAGAAACTTAATCATGCAAACCTAGCACTTACAAGAGTTATATGGACAAAAACGACCTGTGTGAAACTACATATTGTTGAAGGAATGTGGAACTAATAGACTGTCACAAATAACATTCTGCATCATATAGGTCAAGGTGAGATATTTATTACTGAAACCAATGAGAAGTAAATGAAATCTGTCAAGAAATATTTTAATTGTTCAAAAATTTTCAAGTCAAAATTAACTAGATTTTTTAACACATCTTCTGCATGAAGAGCATCTAAAATAATGCCCACTTTCATTCTTTCAAATTGAAATACATTCTGGGACCAGCACAAAAACTGACACTAGGATACAGCCTTAGGGGTCTGACCTATGAGCTTCTGAATGAATTCTTTCTAGACATCAGACAGGGTTAATTTTGAATTCGGGAAGTGTTAAAGATACTCAATCCCCTCCTTCCCCTCTGTCCCCCCAACTTCTTACATTCCAAGCATTTGTAAAAATTTTTTTTCTTTGTCATTTTAGTGAAAATCTATTGTAGCTATATTGTTTATCTTTTATTTTAAAGAAAAGATTTTTCAGTTGCTAGGGTCATTTTTTTTGTACTACAGTCAGCACAACAAACATTATGGTTTTACATACATTTGTAAAAAAGGGATATGCCCAGTGTGAGCTGGTAGGTTACCTTTAGTGAAAGGTTTCCTGTAAACAAAATACAAGAATAAACCCAAACGAACCAGGGGATAAAATGTGGACTAATGCGGAAGTCTTACTAAGTATTCTTGGCAAATTGCGATGTACGCAGCAGCCACTGCGTGTTATTCAGAGCTGCTAACAGGGACAGTAAAACAAACCTGCTGTACAGGTGCTAGATTTTTAATAAATAGTCTGTACAGTATCAAACTATATAAAAAGCTTAAAAACCACAATGAGAGTTATTATATTTCAAAAATGTTTCTATATTGTAAAAATATTAAAATTAGGTCCAACCAACCATTAAAAAGGTATGAAATGTGCGATTTTGCAAGTGGAAACAAGGGGCATGAGAGGGTTCCATAAGAGTTAGTGAGAGTTGCTTTCTGATTTCTCTTTGTTTTCAGTATCTTCATACACCTGGTAATCACACAGACCTCAGAGCAGTTCTCTTCAGGCAAGTAGGACATGAGCTAAAAGTATCATCACTCATTTCAGTAGGGAAGATTGGCTGCAATAAGGAGTAAAAGGCTATTTTGAGACAGAAGTACAGTACAGTCTATTTATGTAAATACTTGGAAAACGCAGGAACAAAATTGTTTTCTAACTACAGAGCTGTGAAATCAGTGAGCCATATGGATCTATAATGTATGGCAGACTATTTTAAAATCCTAAACCTTCTTGAAAGAAAACTGTTTTAAGTCTGCATCTAGAATAACATGAGTACTTGTGTTAACCAAAAGCTGCAAAGATTATATATTTCCAAATGTACTAAAATTAATATAACTGAATTTTTTAAAAAGGCAATAATACTTTACACTTATTTCTCACAAAGCATAGAGTGAGGAACTGATAATTAAAGGCAATATAAATAGTAGGCAAGATGAAACAGATGGCTGTAACGTAATTCTTGAGTCTTAACTGGCACTTAACACTAACTACTTTCAGTTTGACAAATACAATAAGACACCTATGTTGACATACACGGGGTGCACTTAACTACTTTTATTTATGTAACTGAGGTATTAAAATTGTCTTGAAAAGCAGACTTCTAAAGAAGAGAAAACTATATGAAGAAGAGAATAGTAGTCATTGTTTTCAGTGTTCAATGATTAGTAGTTGGGTTTTTTTCTTCCAATATCTTTAACTTTTATAATTTCCATGCAAAGTCTCTATCTTACTCCTCCACTGGATAGGTAGCCTGGGAAGATGGGAGGGAATCCACCATTCTTCAGCAATAATTAGTTACAAACACTTTGTTTTTTTGTTTTAAATGAAGTATAGTAAGCTAAAAGTGTGTGCATATCACACGCTGCATATAGTACACTTTTTATATATACACTGTCATTATACACAGGCATCTTGTATATACAGTGGTACCACCTTCACTAGGAAAATTAAAAGTCAATAGATAATGAACCTTGTGCCGTATCTTCTCTTCCTCTAACATAGATTTCACATGGAATCTCCTCCATCACCCTGTCTTCTATGACTTGCTCAGGGCAGTCATGCGCTTGTTTGAAAGTGTAACTACTTTTCTTGAATGTGCTATTAAATGTTTTCATTGGCTGAGGCTGCGCAAAATCATTGCGAAAGGGAAGTTCCATGGAGCTGAGGTTTGTCCTGCTTTGTTTTATATTAGAGGCCTGGGAGCCACAGTGGTGGTCATGAATGCATCTGGAAGCTGTTGAAGGGCGTCTCATTTTCTGATAGTTTTCAAGTTCTTCTGATAAATCTGCCAAATCTGCAGAAATTTCTTTGTCCCTTAGTGAAAATAGTTCATAATGTGGAGGATCAAATACTTCCTGGAAACCAGTTTTATTGAAAGCAGTCTTGCAAGCCATAACCTTTTTGCGAGGTTGCTTTACTTGTACTAGAATTGAAATGATGAGAAGAACTAGAACTATCCCTGATGTGATGCCAATGATTGTTCCATGAGTTTTGGTGATTTGTTCAAACAATCCAGTTCTTTTCTTTTCTGCAAAGAAAAAATGAGGCTTTTATTATTTCCCATGTGTCTGATCATATATTAAAACAAAGCAAGCTGTATTGTGATTGTCGTGTAAGTGCTGTATTAATGAAATGACTTAATGGCACCAGAGACTAGACCTGTATGTCAATGGGATTTATCGTACTGGATCTTTGCATTTGTTCAGCAAGTCTAATCCCCTATCTGCATTAGTGGCTACCATATGATAATCCAGTGGCAGGTGGAACTCTGTGGCCAGTGCACACTGACTCAGCCGGGATGTGGCTTCAATCCTGAACCTATACTGATCAATTCATATTCCAAAATCCACGAGTTAAATACTATTTATACAGCTAGAGCAGACACTTCTCTAACATGGTTTGCTCCTGCTGGTAACATTCCCATTGACGTCAGTAGAAGGAAACCTAGATTTAAACTTACCTAGTTCTTTAAAAGTGAAATATTATCATAGTGATGATGTCAGACTGACTATACTATTTGTTTTCACATCTCTTGGAAACTAAATGACTGTGTCTATTGTGTAAGTCTGTTACACCTATTTCAACATGGGGAGCTTTAGCATAGATATACTCCAGTTTTAACAGTCTGGTAAACAAGTCAGTTGGAAAAAAGAAAGGGGAGAGTGGCAACAGGGAACCAACCAATCTGAACCCTACAGCACTTTTGGCTAGTACTTCATATGAAAACACACAAGATGGCAGTATCAGAACAAGATTGTTTTCCGTACTGAAAATTCTTATTTGAAGATTAAAATTTTCCAATTGGATATCTGTTCTGTGTACTTGTCCTAGGGGACTAAAAGAATTCTACACCGAGACTCTGGCATCTGCTAGAGGGAGAGAAAAGCATTTGAAAATACGTAGAAGAAAATGTAGTAGCCTAAATGTTGTATATTTTCAGGTATCTGGCTCCTGGCATCTGGATATGTGTTATGCACGTAAGTACTCCACACACAGTGCATGGAGAGAGTTATATACCATCATATGCTATTTGAAACAGTCTATATACTGAACAGAGTCCCAAGGAATTGGCTAATAAGTTATGTCTGAAATACAGTTCTATTTCTTAGATGGCTTACTCCAAGTTACATTTATACCTTTAATCTGAAGGAGGATATCACCCCTTGTCCTGCCTAGCTTAGATTTTAGTGTTACCATACTTGGTGGGAGGTATGAGTTTCAGTGCTATGGCAGTTCTTTCATCCGCATCTAGGCTTCTTAATTCTTGGAAGATATTCTAATCAAAATTGTTAAGCAAAATGTGATACCTTCTCCAGGCGCTTAAGACATTGCACATAACTGGTTTTTCTACCAATTTTTGTGTTGCTCAGCTTGGACATAAGGTAGGTGACCATATGCTCAGATTTAGGTAGCTATAGGTGTGGACTAAATGAGAAATCTGGGTGCCTGCAGGAATTGAGCACAGTTGTGAGAAGCTTTCTTTTTAAGGCTAGATATTGCCTGTAGATAGTGATTTACAAATATTGGGAAAGACTTTTTCCATGTTGTAATATGGTTTTTATGGAATTCATTTTTTAAATACTGCATTACGTGAGTGAAATGTGGATTCTAGGCAAGATTCAAGTAAGCACTTGGTAGAGATGGGAAAGAGATCTAGAAATTGCACTTAAGAGGGAACGCTGAATATTATTAAAGTTAAGAATTGTTTAGAGGAAGCTTATGTATACATTGAAAATTTGAGTTATGGAGTGGTTCTGTTAACTGAAAAGCTTCCACAATATACCTTGCATTAGAGCATTTATTAGTGGTGTCAATTTTTTTTATTTGCTAAAAATGCAATTTCAAAGTAGGTTTTAAAATATTTATTTACTAAAAATTTTAACCTGGATTTGTGCATTGAAAAGCCATTTATTTCAAGATTTTTTTTTTTGTAGAGAGGATTTTGCCCCTTCCTGCAGGGTCAGTTGGAGTACATATTTAAATCTTTCAGGCGTTTTGTGTTCAGACCTACTTATGCCATTCTATTTGTAAAAAAAAAAACAAACAAACCCCCCCAAAAAAACCCACCCAAAAAAAACCTGTTCAAGTTTGTATTCAGTTATTGAAGTACAGGTGATTATACCTGTGCTTCAGCAGAATAACAATTTCCTCAAATCATGAGAATTTTTTGCTATAAAACCTGATATTGAAACAAATCTTTACTGTAGTTGTGATGGTTCAAACAATACTCCCCTACCCCATGTTCTAGAAGCGGTGATTTACACGTGTCTGTGTTTGCATAAGCAATGAATTCTTGCTTCCAAACAACTGCTACTGCCTCCCACCTTTTCTCACACCATATGCAGCAGTTGCATTTACTTTGAGCTATTTTGTGATTAACAACTTACAATTTTAAAACAATATTTGTTTTATTTGTCTTTGAAGATTGTTACTTCTATTTCAGCCCTGAGAGAGGCTTTTTGTGCTTGAAAGCTTGTCTGTCTTTTCCCAGCTCTGTATTTTTTCTCTAATAAAATGTGTTATCTGTCCCTACAGTTCTTGCTTCATTTAAAGTTTAGAAATGGATAGGATGCAACCTAGCAAATATTAACTTCTCTTTCTGAGTAAGCTGACATCCGTTTAAAATAGAGACTATATGCTGAAGAGGAAGAAATTTAATTATAAAGCAGTAAGATCAATATTCAGGGTGCTTACATGTCTCCTGAGTTTAAATAAAAAATTTGGAACACCTTCCTGAGATTAGCACAATATTTGTGTTCAGCATATTTCCAGGAAAAAGACATTTCATGACTTCCTTGGAAGGCAAACTGACCAGCCTAGCTCATAAAGGCTACACTTTGTACTATATTCACCTCTGCAGTGATTTTCATCCCAAGGGTATGCACAGTTTTGAATGCCATTGCAAACTAAAGAATTATTGATGCACATGTTGCTATGGCAGAAGTACGTGTTGCCTGAGCAGGGAGCTGCAGGAGAGAAGAGAAAGAAAACATTAGGAATTTTCAGTAATTGATGCATTTCAATAAAACTAGTAAATTCCTGTTATTTTTTTAACATGCATACTCATTCTTTATCTGTTTCAAATACAGTAACTTTTTCTGCATATCACTAATTATTGGATGATTTACTCTCTGTTCATGTGGTTGTTTTTAGATGTACTGTCAAAGCGAGAAAAATTCTTGCTCAAAATGGGCAGCAGGTAGAGATGGTCACACGACAGATAATGGAAGAAGGCTTTAATACTTGTCTTTAAAAACTTAAAAATTTTATGCTCACCATCAATTATATATTTATTCAATCTGGTGCATCTGCTAGGTAGATGGTATAGCTGGTTGTGAAGCAGTTCCTGAACTGCATTTTAGAGCCCATTAATATCTTAGGGCAAATCAGATTTCAGCTTGTGGAGGACTGTTTCAGTAATTGCAAGAGATTTCAGTAACTGGAGGCATCTAAGTCATTCCTGGTTGTGAATCAAAGCCCTTAGATCCTCCTATTAGAGCTAATGCAGGGATTAAGAGAGAGTACAGTTTAGCTTTTTATCTATCTGTCTATATATAGTTATAAATTTTAAGAAATAAATTTAGAAATTTTAAGAAATATATTAACTAGAATATTGCCCTGAAGACTTTGTTTCTGTGACTGTTTGTTATAGCTCCTTGACATTAGAAAAATATATTAAAAACCAGTAATAATTCTTTTCAGGATGTTGTATAATACACATAGGGAATTCTTTATGAATTCAGGGCACTGGACAAAAAATTGATTTTTCCCTTTCTCGGTCTCAGTATTGTGGTATTATGATAGAAATGTCTATTAGTGGAGTCGGTTACATATTAAACAGCGAAGATGTATGGTAGACATTCTACTATTTGGTTTCATTAAAAGAATTTATTCTTATGCAGTCTGGATTCTCCAAAACACAATGTGAGACCCAAAGAGTACAGCAGAGGAGGGTGACTAGTCCTGAAATGCAACAAGTTTCTTGCTTAGTCCTTCTGTCAAGCTTCAGTCTCGGGGACAAAAAGAGGAGTTATGCCTAAGAAAAGAAAATTCAAACCTTTAATCCTGAATTTACATTCCCTAAATCTAATATGCATTGTCTTCCCACTTCTTACTCCACTGAATTTTGTTAACCTATGCTTGTTGGTTTCAAGCTTTTGCATTAGCTTCCTGCTATTGCTTAACCCCTGACAACAAGTTTCATATAGGAAGGTTGTGATTTGATTGTAGTGTGAGTGTTGTAGTACTTTCATACAGAATGTATTTACAGTGTATTTTGGAAGAGTTTATCTATGTACTTTCAGTTTTTAAAAAGTCATAGTAACTGATATATTTTCCTTGCTCAACTGAGTTGAGAATTTAATTGTTTAGAAAGGAGATTTAATCTGAAGAACACTGGTTTAAAATACAGTCAGGAAGGAATAGATCACACCCATTACATCAGTTATGAATGAGATGTCCTATTAGGTGCAAGCAGGGTCATGTGCCCTGGGAGGAACACAGACACAATGAGTATGCAGGGATGGGGCTAGGAAAACTAAAGCCTATCTGGAGCTGAATATGATGAGGGACATGAAACACAGTACGAAGGGCTTCTCCAAGTGTATCAGCCACAAAAGGAAGGCCAAAGCAAATATGGGCCTACTACTAAATGGGACAGAGGGGAGCTTTCCTCGATGCCTGGGAAGGTGATAGAGCAAATAATCCTGCAAGCTGTTTTCAAATGTATCAGGGATAAGGTCATTGGGGAGTAGTCAGCATGGATTTATGATGAGGAAATCATGCTTGACCAACCTGATTGCCTTCTGTGATGAAATTACTAGCTTAGATGAGGAGAAAGCAGTGAATGGTGAATGTTATATATCCTGACTTTAGCAAGGTTTTCAAATTGTATCCCGTAATATCCTTGTAGAGAAACTGATACAGACTACATAGGAAGACAGTGAAGTAGACAAAAAAACCTGACTGAACTAAAGGGCTTGTAATTGGCTTAAGGGTTGTGATTAGAGGCACAAAGTCCAGCTGGAGGCCATTGCTACTGGTATACCCCAGGGGCTAATAGTGAGGCCAACACTATTTAACCTCTTCGTTAATGACATGGATGTTGGGGCAGAGTGCACCCTCAGCAGGTTTGTAGATGATACAAAACTGGGAGGAATGGCTGATAGACCAGACAGTTGTGCTGCCATTTGAGACGGGCTGCAGAAACAGGTTGACAGCAACCTCAAAGTTCAACAAAGGGAAACGCAAAGTCCTGCAGTCATGGAGGAGTAACTCCACATGTGTGCATGGGCTGAGGGCTAACCAGCTGGAAAGCCGTTCTGTAGACAAACACTTGGAAGTCCTCATGGAGAAAAAGTGGAATGTGTGGCAGTGATGCCAAAAGCATCCTGAGCTGCATTAGGAAGAGCATTGCCACTAGGTCAAGGGAGGTGATTCTTCCCCTTTGCTCAACACTAGTGAGACCACATCTGGAGTGCTATGCTCAGTGTGGGGGTCACCAGTACAAGAGAGATATGGGGAGGATCCAGGGAGATGGCATGAAGGTAAAGAGTTGGAGCATCTGACATGACTGGTAGGGGTTGCCTTGAGTGGTTATGTCTCCATCGTTGGAGATGGTCAGCAACTGACTGCATGTGGCCCAGGGAAACCTGCTCTCCTTGATCCCCTCCAACCAGACAGACTTTCTAGTTAGCTTTCTAAATCAACAGCCTTTTTTCAAGAGTGTTTTATGCCCAGTTTGTTTCAAAGACCAAACCATTTTTTCAGCGGGATGTGATTCAGTGGGTTCAATCATACAATTACCTGGTAAATGGAAGAATAAAATCAAACTTTCTCCTCCATTCAGACTTAACTATGTCTTTTAACTGTTTCACCAAATTCTGCTGTTTAAGAAAGAGGATATAAAGGAATCTGGTTGTTTTGTTGTCTGTGTGCCAAACTATCACCTACAATGTATCGAGTGGATGCTAAGGCAATTCTCATCATTAATAGTTTAAGGCACAATGTAAGCATTATTCTGTAAGCATCATATGAAATCATGATACATCATCCTGTAAGCATTGTCTGAAATTATGCTGCAATTAAATTCCAAAGGAATTCACACCTTTCCCCTGAAGTACTAAATGATGACAAACTAAAACTTATGCAAGAGTATCAATCTAGATATGAAAACAGGTATCCCAGACAACCTAAGCAATTCATAGAAACAGGAAGATGGACTCAACATTTCTAACCATTATACATACATAACAGGAGAGAGGCTAATAGTTAAAATGGAAGTGTTCATGATACGGACTACAAAATAAAAGGCTCTTGGCCTTATTAGCACATGCGGGGAGAAAAGACAGGTACTTTTTCCTTCTGAATTTGGAAAGAAAGATTGCACAAGCTTTACTTTATAAAGGATAAATAGGATCATCATTTAAACAGAATAGCTTAAAAAGGCTATGTATGTAATAGGCTACAATATCTACTAAAATAATTGTGACTGAGATAAAGGAGTATCTATGAAATTTGTGTCCAGAGTAGTTGTCATGCATCCATGTGTATCTTCTGGTGTTTCAATATGTATCTGTGTGGAGCTGTAGTTCTTTGGGAGGCACGGAGGAAGAATTATGATGTGAGATGTATTCCCTTTCTTATTTCCCCGAGCAGGGGAATTTTTTCACGTTTCTTTATTTTCAGATGATGCATTCTACTGCTGCTTCTCCATCCGCCAGCACAGTCTCTATTTTACATTCCTGTGTATTCTTAAACATTTTTTGGGGATGGATTTTGTTCACAAGTTCATAAAGATGGGATAAACGGGTTTCGTTTTCCTTTTGTTTGTTATTTGGGGAGTACAAAGTCTAAAAGTCACAACAATTGATTGGTTCCAGTCCAGGACTTCAAGGACATAGCTGGACTCTTCTTGTAACAGCTGCCTAAGACTGGTGTGATGTTCACAGTGTTCTTCATATCTAGCATTATTCATGTATTGAATCAAGCCAGAAATCAAATACATTGATTTTTAACATTGCTGTTAGCTGAATTACTTAGTCAAATCTGCAAGTAGCACTAGGTGTGTGTTAGGTGACTGTCATGCACAATTAGTTCATTTATGTAAATATTTTCAGAAATATTGATTGTTTTCATGGTTGGCTTAATAGAATTACAAATTGTTAGTAATGTAGAAGAGAAAAAATAGCTTAATGATCTGAAAATAAGATAAGCAGTTATTCACTTTTTTCCGTTAGAAAAATAGCTTATCACTAGATTATTTAAAAATACATGAAACATTTTTCAGACACATACTTTTGAATTATCCTATCCAAGAAAGACAATATCTCAGGTTAGAAGATAAATTGGATCAACCACATACCTTTGCAGATTTTCTTCTGCCAATGACTTTTGATTTGCTTTAAAAATCTAAGTTTGGAAAGTTATCTAGCTTAAGGAGTAATTACTTTTTCAACTTCTTGTGCCCCCCCCCCCTAAGTTTGGAAAGTTATCTAGCTTAAGGAGTAATTACTTTTTCAACTTCTTGTGCCCCCCCCCCAAAAAAAAAAAAAAAAACAAAACAAACCAACCAACCACCAAAAAATCCCCCAAAACTCATACAGCTTTGTTAAACTTCCCTGGTTTATGGAAGAGAATATAAAACCTACCTGTTACCTGTAACCTCAACTTTTTAGCAAGGTGGTGACCAGGATGCCTTTCAGGACTGACTACAGCTATATTAGTTCTGTCAAAAAAGTTATTTCTTTGACAGCAAATCTGTACTATTTATTCTTCAAGCAGAACTTTTTGAAAACCTCTAGCACAAGCATAGGTCTGATTTCCTGAAGTGGCAGATATGTTTTATTCAGCTCTCTCCACATATCTCAAATCTGCTCTGCAGTTCTAAACTTACTCTACTTTTGTGCTGAAGATGCCACTTATTTTCAGGTTCTGCAATGTGGACGATGTTGTCCTCTGTAAATATGCGAGGCAACAAAATTCCATTAGGTTCAGACAGAAAGCACTTAAAAGCAAATCTCACAATAAACGTGCTTTCAAGAAACATCATAATTTACAAGGAAAAAAAAGACTGTCTCTAACCCACGCTATGGAATCCAGCCTGCATTTACAGCTCTGTTCTTGATAGTGCTGCCTTAAATAAATTTGAATTTAACTACTTATCCACGGTTGTGCAACCTAACTGGGCTTTGCTGAGGGTGTGGGATCATTTAGAGCCACATGTGGCTGAGGAGAAGGTAGCAGCTTAGGTGTAGCTGGAGTGGGTGTAGTTCCAGATCCAAAATTGAAGGTAGGGCTGCAGATAGGAAGAAGATCCAGACTCTGAAGGGGTCACACATGTTTTCTAGCCTTCTGAAGATCTACTGTGAGCTTGACAAGAGCCTGTTGTGGTGTCTGGCAGGGAACTGGAAGATGGGGGATAGCGGGAGAGCACGCTTCAGTTCCTTTGCCGTCTTTTTAAGTAGGTCTAGTGCTTATTTGTAGAACTCTTTGTGAGAAGGACATAGCCTAGGGCTGTATTATTACTGAAGTCCAATGAAAAATAAACATTTTAAGAATGGAGGAAAGCCTTTATTCAGGAACCATGTTTATAACTGTAACAAGGCAAGTATTTAATTTACCTGCTAGTATGTGAAGGAGACACAAAAAAGGTTGTTTTTTTGTTCCTGCTGCATAATATATAGCTGATGCTTTTCCTAAAATACCTGAAGTACCCTGACACTATGAGAATAGACACTTTAAAATCTACTTACGATCCACAAATGAAGTGAACAGCATTCTGAATCTGCTTAGTCTACTGCCTTCATCTGCCCACATTCGTACCACACCTGTCCCAGTCTGCAGCGTGACATCGTTTGCTACGGTGCTGCAAAACTTTGCCTTCAGGTTTTCAATAGAGCTACTTCCATCATATACAGCAACAAAGTTTCTTTTGCATTCATTTGAATGCTCCATTTGATAGTCGAGAAATCGCAAATAAATCTGTTAGGAAAGAGAAATTAATGTCTCTAGGAAAAGTAATACAGAGAAGTTTTCTTTCTTAGCACATCTTGAATAAGATGTTTTGTTCCCCTTACATGTATGTGTAACTCCCAATTCACAACACTTTCAAACTTACATTTTCTCATTAAATGTCAGTGTGGAGTATTACTTGAAATTTGGCTGAAGTATCTGTTCCACTTCTCCCCCCTCCCCAAAACAATCTTTACTTAATAATTTACTCTGATATATTTCTACTCCCCTTGGGAAAAAAGTAAAAAGCAACACACTTGCTGAAGAAAGCCCTAAGCAGCTCTGCTGAATGTGCAGTCTATTACTCTAGAAAAGAGGCAAGAAACACATAAATGTGCTGAAAGTATTTTAATGGTATTTTGACTGTTCTCTTTTCTTTCTTTTTAATTCATAAAAACAGTGTTAAAATATAAAGGAAGGAGTCTAGTTAGAAAAGCTCTGAAGTTAAATAAGGAAATTAGAATTTGCTTCAGAATAAAAGCTAATTATTGAATGAGAGGAGTATTATGGAAGGCGTAAACTACGAAGCCAGGAATAATTTGAATAAAAATGGAAGCAGGAGAAAAGTAAGCTTGCTATCTAGGAAGAATTAGTAAATTTAAGCCAATCTTAATTCCTCCAAAACCAGAAATCTAATCCAAGGGAAAGCAATGTATGTGGTAGAACATATGCAGCAAGGAAATTTATTTTGCTGGAGCAGGGAACTTGTGCAAGATCGTAATTCAGTTAGAGTTATGTGAAAAGATCATAGGGCTTTTTAATCTCTTGAATGGTTCTATTGGAATTCTCAAAATTCTAGTGAAAGTTGATGAGAGAGGTAACTAAATTACCTAAGTGTGCTGCAAAGTCTATCTTTAAACTTCAAAAATTCCTCAGATAGCCATTATTTTGACAGAGAAGAAATCTGTCCATGTGGAGGGTAAGGTCTCCTGCTCCATGGGAGAAGAGGTGCTTCTCCTCTATCCATGAGGTCTTCAGTATGTTCCTCAGATGAACTTGGGTCTCGACTGTATGCGTTTTGAGTACAGTATACAACTACCTCTCTGGCTGATACTATGGATGCTAAAGACCTTTTAAGCAGTGCATTTTTTCATGCATCTGCCTAATGACAGGAATCTCAAACTCTTGTTTAGTTTGTGAAATGGGGAAGACAGGGTAGATGAATACCATGCTTACTACTGCTATATGACCTATTTTTCTTTCCTTTTGCCACATCTCACTTTTAACCTCAGCTACCTCAAAACCTTTTAAAGCTGAATTTTAAAGAATTCACTAAAACAAAGCCAACCACCAGGACAGTGTGTGTGTGTGGGAAGATACACACCCACCCACCCACCCCGAACAGTAAAAGACAGGTGACACTTGTATGCCCCGGCTCTTCCTTTCCAGTGTTTTCCAGAGACAGGTTGCCAGCACTGTCTCCCCTTGCATGTCCTGTGAAAAGGTGCAGCCTATGCCGTATTATCTCGTGCTGCATCTCACCATCTTGTGATTTTCAGGGGGTTTGGGTTTTGTTTTGTGGGGGGGGGTTTATGCTGTCTTTGTTAGATTTACTGCTGGAAATTCTCAGCTACATTGAGAACCTGTCTTCCATTGATGTCTTCTCTCACAAACATGGGTGTCAGCTGTAAGTGCTAGCATTTGGGCTGAGAGAAGGTATTTTCATTTAATGATTGACTTACAAATCTGCTGTGAAATTACAATGGAAGCTAAAAATAAATTAGCATGCTTTTAGCAGAGCTATTCTGTGTATGAAAACAAAGGAATAATTCCAGTAGAAGAGCTCTGCTCTGCAAAATCTTCTACTGATTAGTGTGTTAGGCAAGTAAATATAAAGGTCCTCACTCTTAGGTTATATTGATTATTCTAGTAATTTTCTGAAATCTGGAGATAATTTATTACCTGTTATACAGATTTTTAAAATCCTTTAATTGCTGCAGTTGTGTCAGTTTTAAAAATTTATTTTTATTATAAAATCAAATTGAAGAAATGAAAAATGTCTATGCTTATTTTTCTCGAGAGACTGCACCATATCAGATCTAATGGATTTTATGATCAGAATTCCACCAGAATTGAAGCTTGAGAAAACACTGTCAGAATACTAAGAATTATTTTTCTGTAATGTTTTAACTCAGTAATTTAGGATGATGATCTAATCTCGGGACTGACCCAACTATAACTCTGCCTTCTGGCAACATTCAATAATTTATTAAAATACTTAAGCATAAGACCTGGTGCACTCAAGTGGCAATGTAGAGAGAAAATGGTTTCATTATTGTTTCTGGAAGAACTGCTACTATTACTTAGACTAGTATAGGGCCCTTGGGAGTTGAGTCACTTCCTCAAAGGCTCAAATATATTAATGGAGTTTTAGTTTCTTTCTTGTCTTGTCCTCTTATTACCATCTTTTAAGTTGCTGTTTGAGAACTAATTTGGAAGTTGCTGAATAGGGCTGGTTAGTTAACTATTAGGAGTGTGTAAGAAGGCATAGAGTACGCTTGTAATCTTGGCAGCTACTGCTTAAAAGTATTTTTTTATGTACAGGCAAGTAGTGGTACATGCTTTAATACACATACAGAAGCACAATTATGGGGGGGGGTGCTGTATGGAGAAAAAATATGTATTCTTCAGTGAAACTCAAGTAATTAAGTAGTATATGATTCTGAAACATGTAGCTGTTTTGTTGGTTTTTTTTAAATAGGCTATGGCTATTGTATTTTGGAATTATGAATAGGATTTTATCCTTCTCTCTGCCCAACAATAAAGCTCAAGTTGTTTTTAATGAGCATAAGATGGTGATGTTTTCGTAAGCAGTCTCTAGTTCTGCAGGCACAGTTGTAAGTATCAGGTACCTAGGTAACTAATGCTGACTTTTGGCTGGAGCAGCTAATATGCCCCTTTAGAGCTTGGGCAGAAGAGCTCTAGCAAATTTTACTGTGGTGCTTCAAGAGGGTGTGCTCCTATAGCTAAGTCGGAAGAGAAGGAGTGATAATTCCTCAGATGATTCCAGGTAATGCCTTTTATTTTAGCTCAGACTGCTGATGAAAGTGGGTTTTAAGGTGCTAGATTGTGAATGGGAATTAGACTGGGGAGGAGCAGGTACATGTTCTGTTGACTTTCAACAGAACCAAATTCTCTAATACAACCACCGGAGGCAAAGTTTTAAACCATGGCAGCAAGATTTACTGAGATTTATCAAAAGCTGTTAGCCAGCATTTTTGCCTGTAATCTTCCAATAAAACCAGAGTCCAAGTCAAATGCCCTTGAAAATTGTTGCTTAAACAGTTTTCACAGTTATTTTGCATTTTAAGTTTCAAATAATAGGAAGACAACACTATGGACTTGCTGTTCAGAAACAATCCTCTATTTGAGTTTCCTAAGCTACTGATACAAAATTAATTTCAGTGAAAGTGAGATATTATGCAAATCACAGCCAGTGACTATTACCTGTTACTAATGACTTGGAAACCCATTATATGCTGAATTATATGAATGAAACCCACCTTAGCATTTGGAGTAGCTTTAATTGTCCATATGCAGTCAACCGCTTGTCCTGGTTTTGTTTTTCCTTCTTGTTCTACTTGACTGGAACGTACTATTCCATCGGCTCCTGAGAGCTCAAATTGGCAGTCTAGGAAGAACAACATATACCTCGCTGTCAAATGCAATATGATATTAATTTAAAATTTCATGTATAAAGAAATTGTTACTGTAATACTAGACCTGGGATGGGATTTAAAATACCTCCTAGGTAAGTGAAGTCAGGATCTGTAATAGAAAGAAGTCATGAATCACAGGGGCTATCAATGCTTGAGAATCACTTCAAGGTTTAGTATAATCTGAAGATTATGTCCATTTTTTATTATGTCACAATAAAAATTGCCAGAAAGTTTACTGAATCACTTGGAGGGTACAGAGACAATTTTTTTTTTTTTAGATGATAACATTATCTGAATAAGGTAACTGACAGCTCAGATTTCCAGCATAACACCAAAAATTATTATTCGCCATTTTGTTCCTACATTACATTCTGAATTTAACTACGCCAGTTTTCACTGAAATCACTGGAGCTCCATAAGCGTACAGGGGATCTTTCTGTGTGCATCATTTTTATCAGATTGCTGTCCATCTAGTTCTGAACAATTTGAAGTTTAGTAGAATGTATCAACACTTCAAATTTGCTGATTGCCATTAATAAAGAATATAAAGAAGGACAGTTCAATACTAAAGACCCAAGCCTCTTCTATTAGACCAGGTTGCACAGTTCTAGACATCGTTCAAGGAGGCAGAATTTCACTGTGATTGCTCCTATCTTCTCTGTTCTAAATGTGATGTGTAGGTAGTGTACATATCTGTAGTATATACTGTAGTAGTATATTGTATGCATACTACTAGCAAGTTAAGAATATACTTTTTCATAATGGTTAACTGATGGTACTTGACTTTACTGGGACTGGGGCTTGGCTAAAAATGAGCCTGTAATGGGCTAGGATGTCCAAGGCTTACATTTCAGTGATCAGGTTAGTGTTTCCTCACAAATCAGCATAGAAACTTGCAAGATACCCCCATTCACAGCTGTGGCATAGAAAATCACCACAGAAATCACACAAATCATAGTGTGTGTACAAGAGTGAAATGTTAGTCTATGCAAAGAAAGCACTAGTTCATGCAAAAGTGCATATGTGTTTTGTACAAAATTCTTTACCAAATGAAGTTCCAGAATTTGGCTCTTTCTGTGGTCCTCAAAATGTTTATCTCTATAGGGAGTTTATCACTTCCCCTAAAATGCCTCAGTGTTGAGCTTAAGACTCAGAACAGCTGAGAAAATGCCTTCTTTGCCTTCCTCTGTTTTAGTTACCTGTAGTGAAATCTATGATCACTATATGCAAAATTCTGCAAGAGATTTTCAACCTTCTTTGTGAACTGATTTTTTTTTTTATGAAGCAGGTGTGTATGTGCACATCCCCCTCCATTTTCACAATCCCAAAATATTTTACCACACTCTATGTAAATGCAGAGGAAAGAAAAGGAAAGAAAAATATCAGTCCTTCAGTTGCCACAATCTATTGTAAAATAATATACAGTTTAAACGTATATTTAAAGTTCCAGCCTGGAACTAGGCTAAGTTAGTTTTGAAAGTGATGTTAATGAAATGGCTTTGGATACAGATTTAACAAAATGCGTTAAGTACTGTCCTTATGAAAACATTTTAGCACCTTATTCCCCATGGACTGGTCACCATGTTAATCTGAAGAGTTTCCACGTACCCAGCAAGGTATACAGTTCTATAAGCAGTAATATATAATCATCTATAGTGTTTTTATGTGCTGTAGGGGTAAAGACCAGTTGGGTAAAGATGACATTAAAAAGTTATGCCTGTGTATACATTTATAGTAGTAGTAGAGCTGACATTTGTATACTGTTTTTGTCCCAAAGGACAATAAAATGCTGATAACTACACGTATAGTACCCATGAAGTACAGCAGTCAAGCATCGCACAAGGACACCAGGTCACGTTTTCTTGTAAAAAGAATGCCCTGCCAGTTTTAAGTGGCCCCACAGAGCAGATGTACTTTTTGTTTGTCTAAAGGCACTGTCAGCATATTATCCTCTCCTTCATACCCTGTAAACTACACTGTACTTTGAGCAAAGAACAATTCTGTTGTCTGAGCCTGTGGTTTGAGAGAGTCTAGTTATACTGAGAGCTGATGCTCAGACTGTATAGATATTTCCTCTGGCTGAAAAGAGATTTGAAATGTTTGGCATCTGGCTGGAAGTGCTATTGTAGATTTGCTTCAGGTGTTTTTGTCATAGTGTCTTATATTCCTAGAAGATAGGCTGTTGCAAATGCCAGCTAGCTATTTGTCTACATAATGCTCTTTCCGCTACTACCACTGATGAAACTGGTACAAGCTAGAGAAACAAAGAGGGAAGTTGTTAAAGCCTTCAGCATGAACAGGATCAACTGACTTGTTCAGTACCAAACTATAGACCTGTAATTCCCTTCAATTTTCCAAAGTGGTTTTAGTCAAGTATGCTGTGGGATTAGCAGGACTGAGACTGTAACTATCACATTGTCACTTTGCCTTCATAAATGCTTAGGAAACACAGCTCTAGACTGCCAGCATAAACACATCCAGAGTTCAGTGGGAGCAGGTGGTCATTAACTCAGTCAGAATTTTAGGCATCTTTACCTGGTATAAATGAGTACTTTGCTTGAAATCCCTTTCCTTCCAGCTCCTCATCAGAAGTAAACTTGATCCACATAAATCTCCCTGTTGATCTAATTAGCGCAGGACTTTTCAGACCACAGTAACGATTAATGAGAGGGGAGAAACCAAAAGGTCCATCTCGAACCTCCAGATGATCAAACCGACATTCAAATGAGGGTTCTATGTAATAAGGTTCATCAAAGGTCAACTCAATTCTTTGTCGTGGAGCAGCTAGACATAAAAAATCGAGCAAAAAGATTAAATGAAATTCTATATAAAAACAGATGAAGACGTGCAATAATGAAGAGACAGGCCTCCAAAACAGCAAGATAAAAAAGAGACTCGGAACTTCTCAAAATACATCTGGTAGTCTGCTACAAAAACTCAGATATACTGTAATAAAAATTTTAAAAAATGACTGTGTAAAAGATACTTTTTCTTGGAATTTTATGGATTTTTTTTGCTTGCTGATCTTTATTGTTGAACATTCAGAAATGACATAAATTTAACGTAGCACATGTAACAGGTATTAACATATATGCAAAGGTATTCAAACAAGTTTTAATATTAACATAGAAATTAAAACCAGTGTTCTATGAAAGCAAAGTACATAAAAAAGGACAAAACATTGAGAGATGCAGAAAAGAATGGAAAAGAAAAAGATATGAAGAACTACTCATTGGGATATTTCCTAAACATTAAGCTCAAATCTGCAGATCCTTTGGGAGGAGACATCTTTTATTAGAGTATTCAGAGAAGTGTAAATGCTTCATATATATTATTAATATGCAGGTGACTGCAGATGTTGGTAAGTCTGAACCAGTGACAGCCTAACATAACAAATTGGATCAGACCCCCACATCCTGATGAGATGCAGCTATGGCTACTTTGTGACTGGACTTTCACATCTGTAGTTTGGAACCGTGACTTTAGATTGTATGAATAGCTGTAGTGTTTCTTGCTCATCATCTACTGAGCTACAAGAACTTTCAGAGACTGACTGGTATCTGGAATGACAGCATTAAAGAATCACATGCTATCTGCTTCTTCTGAATGCAAAAAGGATTTACTTGTATGTCTCTAACGCTCTGTTTAGGCCTTATGCCTTACTTATACATGAGTTAAAAGCATTTGTAGCTGTTTGCACATATTGGCAGTGGTCTGCAGGAAGACCCATATCTTAGCTAGAAATTGTGGAGAGCCTTTGTCTCAGGTACCCATAATGTTGCTGTATAAGGACAGTGAGGACAGAGGCGTGGAAACCAATTCCATGGCCCATGGAAACTGCCTTATGCAAGGAAGGTCCAGCAATGGATCTGCTATGTCCGAACTCTGAAGTTGGACAGGATATCTGCTCTCCAGTGCAAAACTTCAATGTGCATGGAGACAAGCAAAAATGAGGGTGTGTATGAACAAGTACTATTCTGTGGGAATAAAAACTCGCTGAAACATATTACTTGAAATATTTCAATTAATTGATATGAATCTGATGATTAAGATGACTAACGTTTTTAGCTGACTTCAGTGGGTTTTAGGTGCACTCCAATAAGAGGAAAAACTAATTAGTGTCTCCCAAGTCTTGCAGCCTTTATCCAAGATATTCTTATTGGAATGTAGTTTTATTCTAGTTAATGAAATTTTTTTGTCCTCGTCGTATAATTTTAATAGTGACCTCAGCAGTGCTAACAACTCTCCATGTTTTTAGTACAGTGCTATGGCAGTCAGATGTCTTTTTTTTATTAATAAAAGTCAGCATAAAGATTTTCTGCTTGTGAGATAGATAGAATATATCCTTCAACCATTTTTTACAGTTTATTATCAACAATATTGGAAGTGATATTAAGGTAGCAAGCTACAGTTTTTATCTTAATAGTTCTGTGCCTTCATAGATTACAGTTGATCTAATGCTGCTTTTTCTGGCTGTGAGGGTACATCTTATTCTGCATAGCAAATTCCTGAATGTTAGCATTTTCTATTAATTTGTTATTACTACTTACTATTTAGCTTCTCGTTCAACCAAATGACTGCTAGCCCGTATGGCTATACAATACTTGAACATATAGTAAAATGACATAGTTTTACCAGTTCTGGATTACCCATTTAGCAGTAAGATAGCAACACAACAAAGCAGAAATACAGCATGTACCTTCTAAGATATAGATGCACTCTTGATTTGGTGGGTACATGTTAGGGTAGTTTGGTGAAGCAAAATGTCCTCCATTACTTGTCCGTACCCAGTTGTCACACTGGGTAGGAGGAATGCGATTCACTCCAATATTTTGCCCACCTTAAGCAAAAAAAAAAAAAAGGTAACCAAACAAATTTCTCCTACACTCACGCAAGTTTCATTTTGCAAAAGTAAAACACTGACATAATGCATATCCTGTAAAAGAAGAATGTAATTTATTTTAGTTGAAAACCCTCTTGTATGCTGCTTGTTAATATCTAGCTAGGAAAATCTAATGTTTAATTTAGTGATGTGGTATATCCTAAAGAGATGACAGTTTTTGAATATCAAATATGTCCAGTAATCTTCAGGAAGGGAAGAGAGGGAGTAATTTTTTTTACCCAAGCCAGTTTGGACTTTCTGATGCTCTTCTTTCTAAGTCAAATAGTCACAGTGGCTGCCAATGCAGCAGCATTATTTTATGGCTTATGTCCTCTCCATTCCTATGCAAATATAATCCAAAATATTTGTTATCTTTTACTATTTTTGGCCCTGATTCCACAGTATACTGAAGTACATGACTCTTACATTGAATATCTACTTACAAGAATCTGTTGGAATACAGAATGCTTATAACAGAATTATAATATGTAAATACACTAAATACAGCAATGGTGATTAATAAAATTACTAGCAATAGGTAGATTGCAGTGGTAGCTAAGGGTCTCATTTAAGATCAAAGGTTATCTTCTGGGTGTACAGGGAAATATGATCCTTGACTGAGATTATGCAGTTTACTAAGCTAGTGCACCATGCTAGGCCATTTGCAGGAGCTTTGTTAGTTCAGATTTCCTTATCCGAGGAGAAAGGAGTTGGGAATAGTGTGACCTCTCCGACATTCTTAAGTACCTTTGACCCTTCTCTTTGATATCAGCAGCACCGGAGACAATAAGACACAGAATATTTGGTTTCTGCTAGATTTTTCCTAAATCTCACAGGTGATCTCATAATGTTATTTATATTTATGCAGTTTTTCTTTGCAGACCTTTGAGAGGGACTCCATGCTGATACAGGTCTCAGCTGCCTCCAGTAAATCACATCACCTTCCACTGATATCTTGGTAGCTTTTTGATTTATGGGGGTGAAAACTTAAGTCTCTCCTGCAGAAATTGTTCACAGAAATTCTGTAGGTGTCAGTTCAAGGAATTCTTCTCTCCTGTGTGTGGGTTAATCCCACATATGAGAAAATAATGTTTGTGAAACTGATGCCTTCCCCACTCAGCAGGCTTCAAAAATGTTTGTGGGTGGACTATTTTAAAAGCTTGTTGTCAGATACAGAAAACATAAATTTCTGTGGTGTTTTTTTTCTACCTCTGAGGTCTAAACCCATAGAATTTTAACTGGGTAAGTGAATGTCCATGTCCTTTGTGACTGGACGGCTTTGTTCAGTTGGAAAAAAATGCAGCAAATAGGGGGAAAGTGGAAACAGCTGGAATTCATATTGGTAATGCAAGAGCTATTAATACCTAAACACAAATACTTTTTTCCACTTACATTGCTTAATTAAAAATTATAAAATTGTTATATTTTTTTGAAAGAAAACAAACAAACCAAGATTGTACCTTGTGTCTTCTGTGCAACGGCAATCCCTTCCACTACAAGGATTGTTACTAGCAACACTGATGAGAGAAATTGGACAGGAAAAACATCAGTAATTTATCAGTTATAGACCATTTTCTGCAGTCTTTATTCATGCAAATCCTAGAATCCCTAACCAAAACAACTCAGAACATGCAAAAATACGCAATTCATTTATGTGCTTTCTTAAAATTTCAAGTTTAGAAAACCAGTGCAGTCTAAGTACACTGTTGGTTCTTCCAGATTCCTTAAGAAAACATATATGAGAATAGCAATTTATTGAGGGGATTTTAGGAGTATTTTCTAGAGTATCTACTCATCTGCAAGCATTTTATAAAATCAAATGGTATCCATCTCCTATGTAACTTTCATATCCTGAAACGAGATGTTTCACTGCTGTATTGAACCATATTTATCCTAAAACTCCATATGCATAACGTGCACAAAAGACTTCTCCAGCTTCCAAGAAATTAATCAGGACCACAGGACACACTGCATGGTCTTATCCATGCATGGCTTTGAGGAGCACTATAGAACTGTGCTTGCAAGACTGGCTGTTGTGATGCTGCCACAATACCAGGGAGTTTGGCAAATGATGTGGCAATAGGAAACGAGCAGATACAAGTTCTAACAATGGACAGACTTACTCTGAGCAGTGACAACAGCTAGGATGTGGACGCTGTTAGGATGTACACTGTTGTAAGTAAAGTGTTGTGTTAGTCTCAGGTGTTGGTACATGCTGGCGTTGTCTACATTTGAATCGACTAAATATTAGACCTGTTAAAAATTTTGTTATAGTCTTTCCCCAACCCTCTTTCTTCTTCCTTCCTTCCCTCCCTAAAAAGAAGCTGTCTAGATGGTTTTGCTTTTGGCCTTTCCTTTACGTTTGCACTACAATTTTGTTGCACTCAAGAAGTGTCAGTCTGTACAGCACGTTAAAGATTCCATATCCTGCTATTCATCAACAGTTTTAAAGTAAGCTTAATGTCCAGATGTTCCTAAAATGCTTTGTCTCCTCAAATTGTTAGGGATTACCAGGAAGTGAAAAGAAAATGCAATGGAGTATATAATTATGCCGCTCTTCAAATCTTTCATTTGCTTCTGTTTTGAGTACCTCTACTATTCTGGACACGTATCTTGGAGAGCTAGCTAAGTAGGCTAGGGCTCTGCTGTAGACAGAGAGAGGAGAGATGGGAGATAGGATACAAGTTATAAAATTATGAGTGTCATTGAATGGTGAATAGAGAGCAATCACTTGTTTCTTCCAATACAAGAACCAGGGGGTATCAGACAAAGCTAGCAGGTGGCATGTTCACAGAAAATGAAGATTTTTTTTTTTTTTTAATGCACATCATAACACATCCTTAAGGTAGAAAATTCAGTTTCAGAAACCCCTTAAGCTGTAAGTTGTTGGAAGTCTAAGATAATATTTGGGACAAATACAATGTGCTCTACTTTTATATTCTTTCTGAGACCTCTGCTTTTATATCTCTGTGAAAGAAGATACCAGACTAGATGGATGTTTGATTTGACACGGCATGGACTTTCCCATGTTCTTAATCTACTTGTTAATACTAAGTCAGACAGGCGTGGTCTTACCACTACAGGAAAAAAAAATATTTCAGAAGGAATTTTATTGTCACATTCCAGAAGTTCATTTTATTTACCCAATTTTCCCCTCATTGCTCAGGCATTTTAGTGGGTTGTGCTGAAAAGGCATTTTCTCTACCTGCGATTTTCCCTGTGTTGCTGTTTGACTGTCAGCCCTTTAGAGAGTTCCAGAGTGAGCATGCACTGACTGTGAATTACAGTCATTTTGACTGAACTCATCTGGATCCTACTGTAATGTTGGCATAGATATATTATCTTGGGGAAAGACAAAAGGAATCCAAGTCTGCCCCTGAAAGTGTCCATCTAGCATTTGTGTTTTATTATGTATGTTTCTGTTGCCCTTTCTTCTCCCTAGTCATGTACTCTGTTTTAATACAGATTGTATATCATTATGAGACTTTCCTTACCAACAACTACTTTTTCCCTTGCAAGTGTCGAGTTCACAACCGTGGGTGTTCTAAAATACCATATGGGTCTTGCAAATAAGTGTTATGTTCCTAGAAGCTTATCTGATTTTTAGGGACGGATTATGAGATTGTAGGTTAAGACTTAGGTAGTTTTGCATTTTCCATCTTTGCAATAATTCTGTATTTTCATCAATACTAATATACTGAAAATATACTTCCTAACTGTCGTTATCCCCATACAAAGTATTGATTGTTAATCCTTGCTGACTCAGCCTAGATTGAAAATTCATCCTTCAGAAGAAAGTATCTAGTACCCATTACTGGTCTTCAAGTTATGGATGTTCACTAGTCTTTAAAGCAAATAAAACAAACAAATATCCCATATTTATTAACATATGATTGGCATTAGTTTTCCAAATTTTTTAGTTTTTAATATTTCTTACATAGGTTCTACTATTTTGAAATTATTTGCAGTTTATTTTTGAGGCTTCTGTATTTAAACTGTGCACTCAAAGACCTGAGTTTAAGTGCATGAACTTATAATGCGTTTGTAGCCCTGAGATCACTTGTCCCTAACAGATAATCTTGCTTGTGATTATAAAGTTGTCTATGTATTTTGGTTTTTTCTGTACTGGTTTTGAAGCAACACTTCAAAGCTGGCTTTTGTCATTCAAGTAAATGCAGTTACCACAATCCTATATAAATCAGTCCGTATGCCAGGACATAGCAATCTCTTTATAACTTGTTGTGCTTTAGCAAACAAACACAGAAATATGAGTAAGATAAATACTTTCATGACTAACAAAATGAATGCAGATAGTCACTGTCAAGTAACAGAGGGAAATCTGGGGGTTTGTTCATTTGGTTTGGGATTTTTTTAGTACAGCTAATCTACTGTGGCTAACACTGATACAGTATACCTTTTTTCTTTTTCATCTTGAAAATATCAGTAAGCATCTATGTTTATTTCGGTGATTGTGCTCTCTTGTACAGATAAAGACAACATAAGAATAGATGTTCAGTTACACTAGCCATTGCTTTCCCTTCTTGAAATGATGCGGATACAGAAAGAAGCCTCCTAAAAGGACTTCAGAAAAATCTGATTGGCTTTCACTAAAGCCTGTGCTGTTTCTATAAATAGTCCAGAGCTGTGTACGCATGTGTAAGTGCAAAAGAACAGTGCATGTTTCCTGCAGAACAGCATGGATATGCAGGCAATTACAGACGACAAATGGGCTGAATATTTGTCTTATTGTCTTCCTTTTGTCATGTTATATGGATGAGTGGATATAGTAAGTATGGGCCACCTTCTCTTTGTTCCCTGCCCTTTTAATCTTGTCATTTTTAATCTCTTCCATCTCTTGCCTATCCTCATGCTCTCAACAACCCTTAAGATGTATTCAAAGCAGCCTAGGTAGCAAATGTTTAAGGGCCTGCCTTTGCCACTACTTTTATCTTGGGTGATACTATGAAAAAGAAGAGAGGTGTCTCCGACTAATACTCTGTGTGCTGTCCTTATCTCTGTGACATTGTTAGCAAAAAGGTGGAGAGAGGACTTGTATCTGTTCTTCATGAGAGTACTGGGCAGGGATGCCTGAGGTAGTATTGCCTTAAACTGTGTGTATTTACATGATACAGTATAATGTGGGAGAGCAAACAGGAGTGTTTTGGCTGAAAACAAGGCCTATCAATGTTCAGGATGAAAGGAAAAGAAAGAAGGAAAAAATAGCAGTCACAATATTTTTAGACCTTTTAGACTGCTTCCATTAACCCATTTTCGCGTGCGTTTTAAAAACAACAAAGCAATCACTTGGTGTCCTAAATCCCTACCACTTCCTGGAAAAATATTTTCAAATATCAAAGACTAATTTGGACCATACAAGTCAGTAAGAAGGAAGGAAGATGTCTAGGGAAGAGACAGATCCTGTAGGATGGTGCAGTAGAGAGTGAGTGCTGAACCAGTGTCCTGGTACTGCATGCGGGGACACAGACACAGCAATTACAATAGACAAGAGATACCGAACTACTTTCACTAAAAGCCTTGTAGCACTTTCAAAAGGATTGATCTTGTTTTTTCTGATAAATTGAAATTCAAATAGTTATAATGCACCTGAACTTGCGATGGGACACAGTATTCCCCTGCTCCTTCTTTCTTCCTCTTTTGAAGTCTATTACATGTCACTGTGGCATGACTGTTCTTCAGTGTGGATGAAAAGTCTAGCCTTACCTCCCTATTCTGTTATGGTGCAGGAAGCAGAAGTAGTAAATATTGAAAAATGCCACTTGAACATAGCTTGCTAATGTAAGTAATGGCACAAACAGTGCAGGATTGCATGACTGCATTGAATAACGAAAGGACAAAGGGGTGGGTTTGATTGTTTTGTTTTTAATGGAGGAGTGTGGTGAGAGTTCTACTAGAGGACACTGAAATATGGGAGATTGACCTTATAAACTTGGAGATATTTAGTTGGTAAATATAATAAGAGGTTAGTGCTTCTGCACCTTACATTAAGCTTCTACTTCACGATATGTACACTGTAGAAGAGACTATCGTTAAGCCAAGAGCAGCACAGCCACTGAGGCAGACAGATTAAGAGGGGCTTCTTTTATTAATGAATCTGGTATTTGTTACAGACTTTTATTCCACGAATTACGGTGCATACTTTTGTACCACCATTTAATTATCTGATAGGTTTTACCTGTGTGAACATTAACTAGAAATAAAGAAAAAGCAGCAAGCTTCTGTCTCTCTTTTTAAAAGAATTGATTTTTCATTTTCTTCACTTCTTTGCATGAAGTACTTTAGATCACATAGCCTGCAGACAGCTGTATAAATTTTTAAGAGTGAAGACACTAACCATACATTGCAATTTCTTATTACTATTCTGTTGTTGAAATAGGCTTATGGAATAATATAAAAGAATCCCCCGAACTGCTGTAATAAACTATGCATTGTTTGCAGGAGTCAAGATTTTCTTTGCTGGCATTTCTTAAAATTCTCTAAATGAATCTAAGTTGCAAAAAACCCTTAATTTGTGTACTGAAGTGTATATATAGATATATATATATATTCACAAATGAGTGGCTCCTATTTCTCTTTAAAAATGGGAATAATACAGTAAATGGGTGCTCAACCCAATATTGAGAAATCCGTGCGTTGCTTAGAAAGACAAGTGCTTTAGGCTGCAAATCCGACATATGCTTGTACTTTCTGGCAAGATGCATTCTTCAGACTTCATGGGATACAGTACTGCTCTGAGCTCCCTATGGTATGTCTTTCCTCTGCTTTTTCTGCACGCTCTAGGGATCTTCACATAGAGAGAAAACAGGCTAGATTTGCTGTGTGGCTGAGAGCAGTGTCTGTCTTCAGTGATGACAGTGGGGGATCTATGCACGCAGGGCAAGCTGAATATCAAACTGGGGAGCAGTCATGCACAACTGAGAAACAGAGTGAAAAATTCCAACAATTTTTTAAATAAAGACTTGATCATTTAGAGTATTACACATTCTTAGTATAGTGGTAGTCAGAATCCTAGGGATAAAGATGACAGGCATTGCTTAAAGCAGGATTCCCTGTTTTAGCTCTGTGCTGTACCCCCTGGATTAGGCAGCACCTTGTATACATATAGTCCAAATAGACAGTAATTGGCAACACACAGGTCATGCATGTTAGAGAATCTTGCCAGGATGCCTGCTTCTTTCTGGCAGATACAGCCTAGA